GATTTCCCACTCCCCTGCTTGCACCTGGCTGGATGACCTTGGGCAAGCCGTAGTTCTGATAAGAGCTGTTCTTGAAAAAGAGCAGTTTCTGTCAAGAGCTCTCTCAGCCCCACCTCCCTCACAGGGTGCCTGTTGTGGGGAGGGGAAGGGAAGGGAAAGGAGTTTGTAAGCCGCTCTGAGACACCTTTGGGTAGTGAAGGGCCATGGGGTATAAATCCAATCTCTTCTCTTCTTCTTCTTCTTCGCTCTAAAATCCCATGAGATCGCTGAAATGCGCTAAGGGTTCGTTCTCTGATTGATTTAAAATAACTCTCCATAAAAAATTATGCTCAGTGCAGCTGACGTAACTGATGTAAACAATTAGACGACAGCTTTAATAATCTAGGAGAGCGTCCTGGCACGTGGACAATAGTATTCGGTGAAGAGAACAAGTGAGCCTTTGGGGTGGGTGGTGCTTCAAGAGTAACACAGGCAGGTAGACGTTGCCCTGAGTTGAGCTTGAGTAGGAGAGAGAGAGAGAGAGGCGTCAGTGAGACTGTGCAGGGGGAGGCAGTTTTGACTCTGACAGGGAAGCTGGATGGCTGGGACACGAGGGCCCACCTGTCAGGCGGCCAGGGCTGATGGAGCTTTCCTCCTCGCGGATCATAAGAACATCAGAGAAGCCAACGTTGGATCAGGCCAGTGGCCCATCCAGTCCAACACTCTGGGTCACACAGTGGCCAGAAATACCAGGTGCCACCAGGAGGTCCAGCAGTGGGGCCAGGACACTAGGAGCCCTCCCACTGTTGACCCCCCCCCCAAGCACCAAGAAGACAGAGCATCACTTGCCCCAGAGCCCCTATCTATGCCTTGTGGCTAATAGCCACTGATGGACCTCTGCTCCATATGCCTATCTAATTCCCTCTTGAAGCCGTCCATGCTTGTAGCCGCCACCACCTCCTGTGGCAGTGAATTCCATGCGTGTTAATCACTCTTTGGGTGAAGAAGGACTTCCTTTTATCCGTTGTAACCCGACTGCTCAGCAATTTCATGGAGTGCCCACAAGGAGCTCTTGTATTGTGAGAAAGGGGGGAAAGTACCTCTTTCTCTACCTGCTCTATCCCATGCACAATCTTATAAACCTCGATCTTGTCACCCCTCAGCCGTCGTTCCTCCATGCTCAAGAGCCCTAAGTGCTTTAAGCATTCTTCATAGAGAAAGTGTTCCAGCCCTTTGATCATTTGAGTTGCCCTCTTCGGCCCTTTTCCCATGACAGCAGGTGTGGCACAAGCGGGCACAGCACCCTTCTGACGTGCCTTCCCTGCTGCTTATTTGCTTGGCATGAAGTCTTCTGTGTTTTGGGCGCCGGGTCGAAATGGATTTATCCTCCCGGCCATCTTGCGGGGCCATGCTCACCTTCCCCACCCCTGTTTGTCAGATGACCTTTGTAGTAGTTTTTTATAGGAACATGGTTTTGTCATACTGTTATATTTCGCGTTCCTTCGTGGCTGTCACTGCTTGAGAATCGTGAGGTGTAAATGTCTCCGATGAATGACCGCCACCGGAGGGTACCTCTGCACCCATTGTGATGTGCCACGGGCAGCACCATGTCCTTGTCGGTCTCTGTCAGTGACTGTGCATGGCTTCTCTTGTGCTCCGGCCCTGGGCAGACCTCCACGGCGTGCATGTAAGGCCTGTGATGTCAGCAGGAGCCAACCACCTGCCCTTTAATGTCTCCAGTTTGGTGCCGTGGTTAAGTGCGTGGACTGTGATCTGGGAGAACTGGGTTTGATTCCCCACTCCTCCACATGTAGCTGCTGGTGTGACCTTGGGAAAGCCATAGTTCTGTCGGAGCTGTTCTTTCAAGGGCAGTTCTTGAAAGAGCTCTCTCAGCCCCGCCTACCTCACAGGGTCTCTGTTCTGGGGAGAGGAAGGGAAAGGAGTTTGTAAGCCGCTCTGAGACTCCGAGTGAAGGGCGGGGTATAAATCCAATCTCTTCTTCTTCTTTTTCTTTTTCCTCTTCTTCTCCTCTGCCCTCCCCCCCCGGACAGGCGTGTCGGTCCCTCTGCAGCTGGGCTTACCCGATGCCATCCCGCCGCAGTACGGGGCCCTGAAGGAGGTCAGCATCCACACCGTCCGGGCCCGGCTGCGGCTGCTGTACCACTTCTCTGACCTCATGTATTCTTCCTGGCGCTTGCTGAACCTCAGTCCCAACAATCAGGTAAACCTTCTTCGCTTTGGGGCCCTTTAAAATCTCTGCCTCTTTGCAGCTGGAGGCTTGGGTAAAGCACCAGATGCCCAAATGCAATTCCTAGGGAACAGGTTGTACATGTAAGGCTTTTCTGCATCTTGGGGGAGAGGACTTAGCGTCTCTAGTTGATAGTTACCTTTTGTAGCCCTAACGCTGGCCGGCCGGTTCCGTTCCTACGGTGATTCTGCAGGCTCCGTGCTCGCGAGGGTGGTCCTCTAAGACCCTGCCCTCTTGGTACCTTATCCCTGATGGTGGGAACTGGGGCTGGGGGCTGTGAAATGGGGATGCTGGAGCAGGGCTTCAAATTCTGAGGAGACTCTCTTGATTAGCAAGTGAGACGGACGGTTGTGGTTGTTTCTGAGCAGCTTTGAGCAGTGAAAGCCTCCGGGCCGCCTCCCAGCTGTGGCTTCAGCCCCGAGGCCTGCAGGTCGGGAGGCTGCGGAGGGAGGAGTCCAGCGGAATCGGGGTCCCCCTTTGCAAACGTGGCTGGAGCGCGTGTTGAATTCAAGCCAGGTTCCCTTGCCCGGTTACAGAACAGCGCCTCCCATTACAATGCTGGAACGTGGGGGATCGTCCAAGGGCAGCTGCGGCCGTTGCTGGCGCCGAGGGTTTACACGCTGCCCATGGTCCGCTCCATCGGGAAGACGATGGTCCAGGGGAAGAACTACGGGCCCCAGATCACCGTCAAGAGGATCTCGACCAGGTCAGTGTGTCTTCCAGCGGCTCTGCTGGGGGCAGCCAGCCCCTGGGAGTCGCACTCACTGCCCCTGTCAGGGTAGAATTCGGACACTCTGCTATTGGCTCCTTTGCAACGAGTCTCCTAACTGTGGCCTTTCTCTCTCTCTCCTCTCTTTCCAAAAGAGGTCGGAAGTGCAAGCCGATTTTCGTCCAGATCGCCCGGCAGGTGGTCAAGCTCAACGCCTCCGACCTCCGCTTGCCCTCCCGTGCCTGGAAAGTGAAGCTGGTGGGCGAAGGTGCCGACGACGCCGGGGGCGTCTTTGATGACACCATCACAGAAATGTGCCAGGTGCGTCAGGTCGGCCCCTCCGCTCTTGATTGCGTTGCTCTCCTCCTCCCGATCTATTGCCTGTGTGGGCGTGTGGTGTCGTGTTTGGTGTGGTGGCTTGGTGGTCTGGTTAGGTGGCTAGGTAGCCAGGTTGGTGTAGTGGTTTGGAACGCGGACTCTAATCTGGGAGAACCGGGTTTGATTCCCCACTCTTCCTCCACCTGCACCTGCTGGATGACCTTGGGCAAGCCACAGTTCTGTCGGAGCTGTTCTCTCAGGAGCAGTTTCTCTCAAGGGCTCTCTCAGCCCCACCTACCTCACAGGGTGTTGTCTGTGGTGGGGAGGGGAAGGGAAAGGAGTTTGTGAGCCGCTCTGAGGCTCCTTTGGGTAGTGAAGGGCGGCCCTTGGCAGTTTTGAACAGGATGCCCCTGTGGTGCAAAATCATTTGGGGGGGGGGGGAGAGAGACGGGTGTCTCAGGCTGTCGAAGTCTGAAACGTGAGATTACAGGCAGAGCATGGCTGTCGCTTATATATTGTCATTCCGAGACGTATGAAATAAGGTGTGATGTATTTTATATTAAAAGTGTAAAGTATTAAAGTATATTATATCCTTTAAAATAGGCCTGGGGGGAAATTAACTTAAACGACGGCAACCCGTGCTGAGGGCCTCCACCCCCAGGCCAGGCGAAGGGGAGCCAAAGAAAGGGCCCACCCCTGGGGCAGAGAACTTTCTGAAGTGTTATGGGGGGGGGGGACTCTCTCCTCTCTTTCGGTCTCTTGGGCAATGCACCAAACACCTCCCCCTCCCCCTTAATCCCCCAGGAACTGGAGATGGGCGTCGTAGACCTCCTGATTCCTTCCCCCAACGCAACCGCGGAAGTTGGCTACAACAGAGATCGGTGAGTCGCGAAGGGCTGGTTTCTTCCGAGGTCGCTCACGGCGGGGGGGGGGGGGGGGGGGGGTCTGAATTAATGGCAGGGTTTGCTGGTTAATACGGCACGAAGAGAGTGCGCGGGGAAGACGCTTGGGTGGCAGAACGGGCTCTTGGGGTTCCGGAGCCCATCTGACTCAGCGCCACGCTCTGGTGATCCTGCTGGAGAATCTGGATTCTGCTGGACTGAGGGGCTCACATGTCCAGCCTGGCTCCTGGCAGCCTTACGTGCTCTTGGGAAGTTCCCTCGTGTGAAAATTACACACACACACACACACACCCCGAAGGCATCCCGTCTCCTCTGTTTGCACTTGGCCACCGGCTGCCACCCAGCTGATCATTAATTAGACGCTGAGGCACAGTTTGCTGAGAAGTATCGCACAGTGGAGCCATTTCCCCGGAACCCTGATGTCGTGGCCCACTGGTCTCCTGACCCGCCCCACAAGGCAGATTGGCCCCGAGTCGTCCCGCTTTTGAAAGCCTTTTCAGGGAGTGTCCAGTCGCCGGTGCGTTCGCTTCAGGTAGCCAGAAATCACAAAGAGAGAGGCCTTCCAAATTTATGAAACATTAACAGTTCTCTCCTTCAAGGAGCTGAAGGGGTCACACACACACACAGGGTCTCCCCACCCCACAAATACTACCATGATAACAACTGTGGGAGGAAGATTTGACGGACAGGTAGACGAGAAGTCGTTCAGTCTTCCACTGACACACACCCCGTATTGCCACTGTACCACACTGGCTTTTCACCGCTTGGGAGATCCAAGTTGTGCTGACTGGGGGGTGTCACAGGTGGCTACAGAAAGGACCATAACGTGGTTGGGGGGGGGGGTTGTCTGTACAGGTAAGTCAGTGTTCCTCCCAAGGTTTTGAGTGGGCGGAAGGAAGAGAAACGAGGGGGCTCTCGTCTGCGGAGGGCCCCCGGGCCTCTCCATTGTGAACTTGAGCAGAGCCTGGGCGTCAACGTGGCCTCCTGTGTGTCCCTGTCCAGGTTCCTCTTCAACCCTTCCGCCTGCCTGGACGAGCACCTGCTGCAGTTCAAGTTCCTGGGCATCCTGATGGGCGTGGCCATCCGCACCAAGAAGCCCCTGGACCTCCACCTGGCCCCGCTGGTCTGGAAGCAGCTCTGCTGCATCCCGCTGGCCTTGGAGGACCTCGAGGAGGTGGATCTCCTCTACGTGCAGACCCTCAACAGCATTCTTCACATTGAAGACAGCGGCATCATGGAGGAGAATTTCCACGAGGTGGGTGGCACGGCCCCCTCCCTTCCCAGAACCGTTTCGGGGTTGTGGTCAAGTGTGCGGACTCTGATCTGGGAGAACTGGGTTTGATTCCCCACTCCTCCACTTGCAGCTGCTGGATGACCTGGGGTCAGTCACAAGTTCTCTCAGAGCTGTTCTCTCAGGAGCAGTCCTCGAGAGAGCTCTCTTAGCCCCACCCGCCTCCCAGGGTGTCTGTTGTGGGGAGGGGAAGGGAAAGGAGTTTGTGGGCTGCTCTGACACACCTTTGGATAATGAAGGGCGGGGTATGAATCCAATCTCTTCTCCTCCTCCATGCAGAGGGTGGCTGTGAGCAGCACCCGCTGGAGCCCCCCTCTGCGTGGCCTATGTGGCAGACCTGGTTTTGGGGTGCCACATTGGGTTTTGTGCCAGAACAGGATTTGGGGGGGGGCACGTCCGTTCCTCTGCAGCTGGGGAGGCTCTCTCAGAAAGGGCGGCTAAGAGCAGCACTGGAAACGGGAAGGGAAAGGAGCATGCAGCTGAAATTATCCTCTGCGGCCGTGCGTGTGTGACGATAAGTGCCACAGCGCCACAGAGGAGGGGATGGCAGCAGCACACAAAAGGGGGTGGCGCAGGACCCCCAACGAAAGCCGCGTCCAGAAGCAGGCAGAGGCCCAAGCTGAGGTCCTGGTCTGCCAGCCCAGAGGCGCTGAGGACGGGGCGCGTTGCCTGGCGTATTTCCTCCCTCGCCCCCCAGATTTCTGCGTGGCACAGTGGCTGCCGTCTGGTGGCCTGGTCTGCTGGGCCATCCGTGGGCTGCAGGGGTTCTCCTCCCCACAGAGAATGGACGCAGGTGTGGGGCACCCCCCTGCCTCCAGCCCCGCCTTCTGCCTGTCAGAGGGAAGACCTGGAGGCAGTTCTGCCTGAACAAGGCCGGGAGTGGTCGGGAGTGCTCACGTTCTGCTGGAAGTTTCTATGTGCCGGAGATTCTGTGCCGTTCCCGTATTTCCCGGCTCACGCTGAGCTTTGTGGTTCTTATCGTGTTTGGGAGCAGCCTCATGGACCCAGTGAGGGGGGTGGGGGTGGACACCAGGGTTCCCTCTAAGCTGAGTGAGTGTAAGCTGGCTCACAGATTTTTAGCCTCTGGCTCACCCGTTTTTGTCTCAGCTCAGGAAGGATATGGCTCTGGAGCAAACTCATTTATGCAGCAGCCAAACCGCTCACTTACAACTTCAATGCCAGGAGCTCACAAAGTAGGATTTTTCCTCATGAGACTCCATAGCTTAGAGGGAGCATTGAGGGACACCCCAGATTTTGGAACGCTCTCTGTCGATGTCTTCCACCTGTGGGAGAAGACCTTTTCATTATTTCATTTGGCATATCCCCAATAACAGTCGTTGCTGTTTGCTTATGTGTTTATATTGAATGACTCTACATTTGTATTGTGCCTTATTGAATTATTTTACTGTTTTAAATGTCTTTAGTTGTTCCAGTGTTTTTACGTTCAGCACTTTGGGGGGGGGCGTGGTCATAAGAGAAGTCCATGTTGGCTCAGACCAATGGCCCATCCAGTCCAACACTCTGTGTCACACAGGGGCCACAAATACCAGGTGCCATCAGGAGGTCCAGCAGTGGGGCCAGGACTCCAGAAGCCCTCCCACTGTTGACCCCCCCCAAGCACCAAGAAGACAGAGCATCCCTTGCCCCAGACATAAGAACATAAGAGAAGCCCATGTTGGATCAGGCCAGTGGCCCCTCCAGTCCAACACTCTGTGTCACACAGTGGCCAAAAATACCAGGGGCCATCAGGAGGTCCGGCAGTGGGGCCAGGTCACTAGAAGCCCCTCCCACTGTTGCCTCCCCCCCAAGCACCAAGAATACAGAGCATCACTGGCCCCAGACCAAGAGTTCCAGAAGAACATAAGAGAATCCAATGTTGGATCAGGCCAATGGCTCATTCAGTCCAACACTCTGTGTCACACAGGAGCCAAAAGTACCAGGTGCCATCAGGGGGTCCAGCAGTGGGGCCAGGACTCCAGAAGCCCTCCCACTCTGCCCCCCCCCCAGGCACCAAGAATACAGAGCATCACTTGCCCCAGACAGAGAGTTCCTACCTATACCTTGAGTCAGGCGGCAATGTGGCGTAAAAATGTTTTAAGTAAACAAACACGACAAAAAGTGTTAAACAAATGCATGTTATAATACGTCATCCAGGGCTGCTGCTTTTTGTCTTGTGGCCCAAAATCAAAATGAGATGGAAACATGGCTGCTGCTCTGCATTACACACAGTCCCCCCCAAAAAAACCCTTTTTTAAACCGAAACGCGCTCACTGATCCAAGCGGAGTCGGGAATGGCGGAGTTCTCGGTGGGCCCCTCGGTCTCTGAGCAGAGTGTCTTTTGTCTTCCTGTCAGATGATTCCTCTGGATTCTTTTGTGGGCCAGAGCGCAGACGGGAAAATGGTTCCCATCATCCCCGGCGGGAACAGCATCCCCCTGACCTTTTCCAACAGGAAGGAGTACGTGGAGAGAGCCATCGAGTACCGGCTCCACGAGATGGACCGCCAGGTGAGGCTCTGACCCCAGACACGCTTTTGCACCCTGGCCCTCTGGTTCCCAGGCGCATGACACGGAAAGCACTGGTTCCAGGCGGTTGGATCCGTTGGCTACCAGGATTTCCCGAGACCTTTTCGGCATGCTTCCTTCATTGTGCCCTGAAGCCTGGCCTTGCCCGATCTCAGAAGCGAAGTACGATCAGCCTCGGTTAGGACTTGGATGAGAGAGACCCCCAAGGAATACCGGCGTCACGGCGCAGAGGCAAACCACCTCTGAATGTCTCTTGCCGTGAAAACCCTACACGGTCTCCATAAATCGGCTGCAACCTTACACCACCACCAAAGCACGGAGCGGCAGTTTAGTGTCGTGGTTAGGAGCAGGGACTCTAATCTGGGAGAACCGGGTTCGATTCCCTAATCCTCCACATGCAGCCACTGGTGTGACCTTGGGTCAGTCACAAGTTCTCTCAGAGCTGTTCTCTCAAGAGCAGTCCTCAAAATCGCTCTCTCAGCCCCGCCTACCTCACAGGGTGTGCCTGTTGTGGGGAGGGGAAGGGAGGAAGATTGTAAGCCGCTCTGAGACTCCTTCGGGTAGTGAAGGGCAGGGTAGAAATCCAATCTCTTCTCTTCTTCATCTTCTTCCCGCCATTTGTGCTGCTCAGAAATGTTTTGATCTGGGAATACTTCCTGTTTGTCTTCCCGGCACTCGCCCCACACCGGTGATGTCCCAAGGGGGTGGCATCGAGAGGAGGCGGTCCCTCCGGGGCTGGCTCCAGGCCTCTTCGCTTCAGCGTTGAGTACTATAACAATTTCACATAAAAACAATATACATGTAAAGTGCAGGTCAATGTGGATGGCGATGGCTGTACAGTGATCCGGTGTAACCAGGCCAGCATCCATAGTTGTTCTTAGTGCTCCTTCCTCAGTGGCTGCTCCTAGTCGAAGGCCTGGTGAAAGAGCTCCGTTTTACAGGCCCTGCGGAAATGTAAGAGGTCCCACAGGGCCTTGATGTCTTCCGGGAGTTCATTCCAACAGTGTGGAGCCGCCACTGAAAAGGCCCTGGACCTGGTGATGGCCAATCTGACATCTTTCGGACCAGGGAGAGTCAGGCGGTTTTGCAGCCCTGACCTCAGTGCTCTCTGGGGCACATCTGGGGAAAGGCGGTCCCTTAGGTAGGCAGGTTAGGGTTAGGGTTAGACCATGTAGGGCTTTAAAGGTCAAGACCAGCACCTTGAAGCGAATCTGATATGCTATTGGCAGCCAGTGCAATGCCTTCAGCACAGGCCAGATGTGCTCTCATATAGAGAGACCCACCAGCAGCCTGGCTGCTGCATTTTACACTAGCTGCAGCTTCCGAATTTGGGACAAGGGCAGCCCCATGTAGAGAGCGCTGTAGTAGTCCAATCTCAAGGTGACCCTAGCATGGACCTTGTGGGGGGCTTGTTCCGTTCATCACAGCGAGGGCTGCGGCAGCTCTCATAGCCGCTCAGCAGAACCAGACGGACACGGAACTCCTCTCTTTGGGCCGCAGGTGGCCGCAGTGCGGGAGGGGATGTCGTGGATCGTCCCGGTCCCTCTGCTCTCCCTCCTGACCGCCAAGCAGCTGGAGCAGATGGTCTGCGGGATGCCCGAGATCTCCGTCGACGTCCTGAAGAAGGTGGTGCGCTACAGGGAGGTCGACGAGCAGCACCAGCTGGTCCAGTGGTTCTGGCACACCCTGGAGGAGTTCTCCAACGAGGAGCGAGTCCTCTTCATGAGGTTCGTCTCGGGAAGATCTCGCCTGCCAGCCAACACGGCGGATATCTCTCAGCGTTTCCAAATAATGAAGGTGGATCGGGTAAGGCGCCGGTTTCCTTCACCCTCACTGCCCTGAGCCAGGGTTCCCTCTCAGCTGAGTTAGTGTGAGCTAGCTCAACGTCTTTCAGCCTCCGGTTCACACCTTTCTGTCTTCGCTCAGGAAGGAAGGCTCCAGAGCAAACTCATTTATGCCGTAGCCAAATCGCCTCCTTCGGGACAGGGACCACCGGGACATGTTTGCTAAGACGACCGTAAAGCTCTCCGGGGTGTACACAGGAAGGGGCAGTTTCTCAGATATGTTGGTCCCAGGCCGTCTTAAGGCTTTGAAGGTTAGAGGGGCAGAGTCTCCTCCAAGCCAGACCTTTGGGGTAGAGAACCTTTGGGGAGGGTGGGCCATTTGGAGTACTGTGTACAGTTCTGGTCACCACACCTTCAAAAGGATAGTATAGCATTAGAAAAAGTGTAGAAAAGGGCAACTAGAATGATAAAAGGGTTGGAACACTTTCTCTGTGAAGAAAGGTTAGAGCGCTTGGGGCTCTTTAGCTCAGAGAAACAACGGCTGAGGGGTGACATGATTGAGGTTTATAAGATTATGCGTGGGATAGAGCAGGTCGAGAAAGAAGTCCTTTTCTCCCTTTCTCACAATACAAGAACTCGTGGGCACTCAATGAAATTGCCGAGTAGTCAGGTTAGAACAGATAAAAGGGAGTCCTTCTTCACCCAAAGAGTGATGAACACGTGGAATTCACTGCCCCAGGAGGTGGCAGCAGCTACAAGCATGCAGCTTCAAGAGGGAATTAGATAAGCATATGGAGCAGAGGTCCATCGGTGGCTATTAGCCACAAGGTATAGATAGGGACTCTCGGTCTGGGGCAAGGGATGCTCTGTATTGGGGGGGGGGGGGGGGGGGCAACAGTGGGAGGGCTTCTAGTGTCCTGGCCCCATTGCTGGAACTCCTGAGGGCACCTGGTATTTCTGGCTACTGGATGGGCCATGGGCCTGACCCAACATGGGCTTCCCTTACATTCTTCTGCTGGTGGGGAATGGTTTAAATTCCTCCCACCCCCAGAATCCTCCTAGGCAGTGGAGTTTTTGAGCATACCTAGTTTTCCCTCAATTGAAGGGGGGGGGGGATTTGGCCCGTCCTTTGGGAGAGTGGAAGCGAGGTGCTTTCCCCTGGGAGTCTTCACTCTGGGCGGGTGCCTGACGGCCGTCTGCCTCCTTCCCTCTCTCCCTGTCCGCAGCCTTACGACAGCTTGCCTACCTCACAGACCTGCTTCTTTCAACTGAGGCTCCCTCCCTATTCCAGTCAGCCAATCATGGCCGAGCGTCTGCGCTACGCAATCAACAACTGCAGGTCGATCGACATGGACAATTACATGCTGTCCCGGAACGTGGACAACGCCGAGGGCTCGGACACAGACTATTAACTCTGTGCGCACACCCACTCCCCCACCCTCCACGGAAATCATCTTTTCTTTTCTTCCTCTCTTGCACATAGTGTCCCATCTTGGAGTTCAATGTTGACACCATTTTACGGTAACGATAGATGTTTTAGAAACCGACCGACCAGTGGCCACGTTTTTAGTTAACGATAAATGTGATGAAACTTAGACGTGTTTTATTTTTTTGTGATTGTAAACAAAGGAAAGCAAAAGTGAGATCAACAGGGTT